CCTCTCCTTTCCCCATCAACGGGGAAATAGTGCAGCGTGGGGAGAGGGATGTACGTCTGCCAGGAAAAGCCTCATTGGCAGCAGGGAGAAGCCCTACCCACCTGCCCCTCGGCTCCCCAGGCACCTTCCTCAAGATGCCACTCTCCCCACAGCTAAAAAACACACCTACACGCTCCACTGTGGTCTGCAGGCACTTAACTTCCTTGTCCTCCAGTCAGCTAATGGGCTGTGAGGTGCGGGCTGACACTTGCTCAGACACAGCAGATACCAGCGCTGTGAGCTGGGGCTCAGCTCTCACGGTGGCTTGGAGGGAAGGAGTCAGAAGTGGATCATGTTCACTGCAGCTCTATTTACAATAGCCAGGACACAGATGCAACCTAAGCGTCCATCGACAGATGAATGGGTAAAGAAGAGGTGGGACATTTATACAATGGAATATTACTCAGCCATAAAAAGAAATGAAATTGAGTTATTTGTAGTGAGCTGGATGGACCTAGAGTCTGTCATACAGAGTGAAGTAAGTCAGAAAGAGAAAAGCAAATACCGTATGCTTATATATATATGGAATCTAAAAAAAAAAAATGGTTCTGAAGAATGTAGGGGCAGGACAGGAATAAAGACACAGATGTAGAGAATGGACTTGAGGACACAAGGAGGGGGAAGGGTAAGCTGGGACGAAGTGAGAGAGTGGCATGGACATATATACACTACCAAATGTAAAATAGATAGCTAATGGGAAGCAGTCCCATAGCACAGGGAGATCAGCTCGGTGCTCTGTGACCACCTAGAGGGGTGGGATAGGGAGGGTGGGAAGGAGATGCAAGGGGGAGGAGATATGGTGATATATGTATATGTATAGCTGATTCACTTTGGTATAAAGCAGAAGCTAACACACCATTGTAAAGCAATTATACTCCAATAAAGATGTTATATATAAAAAAAGAAAGAAATGTATCACTGAGCATGAGATTCATAGGTTCTTTCCTCAATTCATTCTCTAGCTTCCCTGCTGACATTCTTGCAGCCATACAGTAAAATTCAAGTCGTCACATCTCAGAGGTTCAAGGAAAGGGAGATTATTTTTTCTGAAATTGGAACTTTCTCCTGAGCCCCCTCCTGTGGGATACTAGGCAAAAATTAATTACATCTCCAATCCTGTCTAAGGCGTATTCCCTTTAAGTGGGGTTCAGTTTCCATTAGTTAAAAATGCTCAATCCCTCATATAACTTCTCTTCCTGTCTTTATTATTAAGATTGTGTCTGATTTTGAAGAATATAGCTTACTTGACCTTGTGGCTCTGCAGGGAAGTCTCCAGGAAGCCCTAGAGACCTGTGCTGCCCAATACATCTCCTGGTTTCTGGATGATTTGTCTTTCCTGCTGGGTAACATCTGGGTGGGTATGACTCAGGGTTGTTATTGTTCCATAGGCAGTGCACTCAGGTGCTTTCTGGGTGGTCCTATTTCATGTCAGCTCCTGCTGGCAGCATGAACAACTAGAGAGCAGGCTAAGACACTCATTTGTCTCCAGCTTCTGCTTGTTGTCCTGCAGGGTTTTCTGCAGGACCGCTTTGTCCCAATTAAGACAACTCCTTCTGGCAATTTCCTCAAGACAGACAGGCAGGTATGTCAGGTCCTGTGCAGCTCCAGTGGACAGGGCCATGGACCTGGGATGCTGGGGAAGTGGCTGAACCTCTCTCTCCCTAAGATGCTTCATCCATAACATGAAAATAACCGTAGCTAATGTTAATTGAGCACTTACTGTATTTGGCACTCTTCTGTGTTCTTTATAATATACCAGGTAGTTCCTAAGTCAGTGCCTCTCAAGTTCTCTGAGAATGACTAGTTTCAGAGAAACAAACAAATGACTAGTTTCTTCTTTAATTTCCAATTTGACACAGAGCAATGTTTTTGCAAAATACAATAAAAATGAATTAATAAAAAGTTACATAGAGAAAAACTATAAAACTTGTACATATTGTCCATTGAAAGTTTAAGTGACTAATACAATCACTATTCTAGTATTAATACCTTGTTACTTCACAAGCATAACTTCACAGAAAGTTATGAGTAGAATAGTGACTCCCCATATTAAGGGCCTTTATACACACTTTGAATAAATGCTGTGTGTGTCAACATTTAGAGTTTGTAATGTGACAAATGAGCTTTCTTTTTTTTTATAAACTCATCGATATAAGTTTCTCTACTTAACTATACTTTCATATTGATCTAGTTGCAGACTGGTAGCAAGCGATTTGTAGATGGCATTCGTCCATAAAATACTCTTTGATTTTTGTTTTTGTTTTTTAAGAATTATTATTTTTTATTGAAGTATAGCTGATTTACAATACTGTATTAGTTTCAGGTGTACAGCACAGTGATTCAGTTATACATATACACATTCAGTTATACATAGTGATTCACTTATAACATAATCAGTTATATGTATATTCTTTTTCAGATTCTTTTCTCTTATAGGTTATAACAAAATATTGAATATAGTTCCCTGTGATACACAGTAGGTCCTTGTTTGTTTTCTATTTTATCATAATAGTGTGTATATGCTAATCCCAAACTCCTAATTTATTCCTCCCCCCTTTCCCCTTTGGTAACTATGATTTTGTTTTCTATATCTGTGGGTCTATTTCTGTTTTGTAAATAAGTTGATTTGTATGTTTTTTTTTTTTTAGATTGCACATATAAGCGATATCATATGATATTTGTCTTTCTGTCTGGCTTAATTCACTTAGTATGATAATCTCTAGGCCCACCCATGTTGCTGTAAATGGCATTATTTCATTCTTTTTTACGGCCGAGTAATATTCCATTGTACATATATACTACGTCTTCTTTATCCATTCCTCTGTTGATGGACATTTAGGTTGCTTCCATGTCTTGGCTGTTGTAAATAGTGCTGCACTGAACATTGGGGTGCATGTACCTTTTCGAATTATAGTTTTGTCTGAGTATCTGCCCAGGAGTGGGATTGTAGGATCATATAGTAACTCTATTTTTAGTTTTTTAAAGTACCTCCATACTGTTCTCCATAGTGGCTGTACCAATTTACATTGCCACCAACAGTGTAGGAGGGTTTCCATAAAATACACTTTGAAAAGCACTCTTTGATATGTTTTTACATGCATTAACTAATTTAATCACCACAATAAGACTATGAGGACAATATTATTATTATACAGCTCGTGAATTCATCTAATAAATGTCAGTTTGGGGTTCCAGGTTTCCAGACTCCAAGGCCCCTCTTCATACTATGTTGTGAAGGCATGAAGGGACGTGCCAGGTAGATTTTTCTTTCCTGGGTCTTGGAGACCCCTGGTGGAGTGAACTAATTATCAGTAGTCTGTGGAAACCAGCAAACGAGATGAGGTAGTTAAGGGCATGGGATGGAAATAGAGTGGGCTGGAGCAGTCTCTGCCCTCCAGGACCAATGAAAGTAACGGGCAAAATCAAAGAACCTGTGGTGGGGTCCCGGCTCCTGGTCCTGGGGGTGTGGGGAGGCCCAAGACTAAAGATGCCCCTGTTGTTCAGTGTTGATTATATCATTCAACCAGAAGATAAAGAGTAAAACATGCAAAGGATTTCCATTTGTTCTGCAAACCAAATGGCTGATATGGATTGTTGATTGTAGATAGCAGAACAATCGGACTAATTAACCAAATGCAGCTGAAACAGGTGCTTCACCCAGCTCTCCATCCTGCTGCATTCCTCATTTAGAAGGGAGACTTGGCTCCTAATAAGTCTTTATTTCTAGAAAGTTCTAGAAACTTCCCTTTTTAAGGTAAAGTGTTTTAATGGAAAGAGAATAAAATGTTTCCAATACTTTACCTTAGTCTTGCAATTTAAATAAGATCTTAAGGATTTGGGAAACATCTTCTCCATGATAAAGCAGATAAAGAGGTAGAGGTTATACTTCCTAAATTGTCTTATCAAAAGGAGTCTGGGTTAAAACAGGTGATGCTATTCAAGCTGTTCTTGCCAAATGCAGGGAGGTGGAAAGAAACCAAGAGAGGGTAAGGTGTGTGTGTGTATGTTTCTCCACTCTGGGTGGCAGCTCTCTGACTTCCTCACCAATAAACTCTGATCCAGCCTGACTCCATAGAAGTAGAGGTGACTGCGGGTGAGCAGTAAGTAATGGGACTATCTCGTTTACAGAAGACTCTCAACTTACTAGGAGTAGACATGAGTGAGGCCGAGGTTTGAGAATTGGGGTACAGGTGTCCATCTGAAGTACCGCACCTACAGTTTCTCCTCCTCTGTTCCTTGGACAGGCCTTTCTCCAAGACCTAGTATAAGGCCCAGGTCTGGAGTTCCATTGGACAGCACCCCATCCCCATGCCAAGCTACAGAGAAAAAGAACACACCAGTTTAGCCTAAAACACAGTATGATCACGTGCTTAAAACCCTTTAATGACCCTATCCTTAGGCTAGAGTAAAAATTTCTTAAAAAAGTTGACAAGGCCCGCTGTAATCTCAACGTTTATGGTAGGCAGAATAATGGCCTCCCAAAGCCGTCCATGTCCTATGCCGAGAGCAACCCGTGAATATCTTGGGATATTAAGGATACTAAGGGGATATAAAGGATATTAGACTGCAGAGAAAATTAAGGTTGCTCGTCAGCTGACACTCATCTAGGGAGAGCATCCTGGGTTATCCAGGTGGGTCCAGTGTAATCGCAGGGTCATTTCAAGTTGAAGAAGGAAGCAAAAGAAGAGAGTCAGAGGAACGTGATGTGGGAAGAACTTGGCCAGCTGATATTGACTTTGGAGATGGGAAAGGGAACAATGAGCCAACCACGCAGGCAGCCTCTAGATGCTGGAGAAGCAAGGAAATCAGTTCTCTGCTGGAGCCTCCAGACGAAACAGCTCTGCCAACACTTTGTGTTTTTCTTTTTTTTTTTTTTTTTTTGCTGTACGAGGTCCTCTCACCGCTGTGCCTTTCCCGTTGCGGAGCACAGGCTCCGGATACGCAGGCTCAGCGGCCATGGCTCAGGGGCCCAGCCGCTCCACGGCACGTGGGATCTTCCCGGACCGGGGCACGAACCCGCGTTCACTGCATCGGCAGGTGGACTCCCAACCACTGTGCCACCACGGAAGCCCCAACACTTTGATTTGAACCCAGTGAGACCTCAGTTGGACCTCTAACCTACAGAACCGTAAGATAATATGTTTTTCTTGTTTTAAGCCACCGAGTTTGTGGTAGTTTGTTGGAGGGTTTAAGCTCAGCTTCCAAAGAGGAAAGCCAGCAGTATCCTTCTCTCTTTTTTTTTTCTCTTCTGTCGTAGTTGTATCATCTGTTTCACCTCTCTCAATGCACGGTTAAATGAGAGAAACATCCTAGAGCAGGTTAGCAGGTTCTTTCTAGTACTAGGTGGGAGAGTTATTATGAATATTATTCAAGATTATGAATGTAAAAGGATTCATTCCAGAATGCCTGTGATACCCAGCAGATCCTATAGGTAAAGCGTAGTTCTCTCCATTTAAATGTATTTGCTCTATTGCTCTCTGGAATTGTAAGCCCTGGATGTGGGTTCTGGTTTGAAATGCCTCATGTACACTGACCTTGGTCAGCAGTGTGGCAGGGAGCAGCCCAGCTGAAAATGATGAAGCTGAAAGGAACGAGGATATGTCCTTGTAACAGGCTTAGTAACAGCCCTTTGCTGACAGTTGCAGAAAGGTTTTCCCTATGGTGGTAGGACCAGGGAGTATCAGTGGCAGTGCTTTCACTTCTGATTCCCCAGCAGGGATTGCCTTTCCCAAGACCATGGAGTTCTGAGCTCAGCCTTGAGCTGAAATTTCTTCCCTGCCCTACTGCCCCCAGCTGGCCCCTCAGGGCTTTGTTCCGTTAAAGCGCTGTGTGACCTCAACCTTTCTGTGGCTGAGCCTCCTCTTTTCTCAAAAGGAAGCTAGAACCTCCCTCCCAGAGGCCTGAGAGGATAGCTGTTTGTAGTACCCAGGGAGCAAACGCTGAGGGCTGCGTTGTATGCGATTAAAGTGACGATGATAATGGCTCTATATAATTAATTCAGTCATGTTCTTAGTTACAGTTGTCATGTGCTTCTCTGTCCATATGAGATCTGTCTCTGTTTTTCATTTATAATTTTTATTGGAGTATGGTTGATTTACATTGTTGTTTTAGTTTCAGGTGTACAGCAAAGTGTATCAGTTATACATACACATATATCCACTCTTTTAGCTCCCTTCCTCCCTCCCTCCCTCCCTCCCTCCCTCCCTCCCTCCCTTCCTTCCTTCCTTCCTTCCTTCCTTCCTTCCTTCCTTCCTTCCTCTCTCTCTCAGGATCTTAATTCCCTGACCAGGGATAGAAACTGTGCCCCCTGCATTGGAGCACAGAGTCTTAATCACTGGACTTCCAGGGAAGTCCCCATAACTTTGTTTTCTATATCTGTGACTCTGTTTTGTAGATAAGTTTATTTGTACCATTTCTTTCTGAGTCCACATATAAGATATATCATATGATATTTGTCTTTCTCTGTTTAGCTTCACTCAGCATGACAATTTCTAGCTCCATCCATGTTGCTGCAGATGGCATTATTTTCTTCTTTTTTATGGCTGAGTAATATTCCATTGTATGTACGTACTTCTTTATCCATTCTTCTGTTGATGAACATTTAGGTTGCTTCCATGTCTTGACTATTATAAATAGTGCTGCAATTAACAGCTCATGCAGCTCAATATCAAAAAAAAAAAAAGGAAAGAAACTGTTTCAATAGCAACCTCGATGGAGTGATCAGGGCTTCATCAGCTCTTCATCTACTCATTTACTCAACAAATACTTATGAGCATGCGCTGTGTGCCGGGGAGCATTTTATGCACTGGTGACATGGGAGGGAACAGACAAAGATCCCTGCACTCATAGCATCTACGCCAGTGAGGGATCAGTAATAAACAAAAATAGGACAAGTGCTGTAGAAAAATAAGGCAGGGAAGGGGCTAGAGGATTCCTAGAGATAAAGATAGTAAGGGAGGCCTCTGTGAGAACTGAGACTTGAACGAAGATCAGAGGATGTGAGGGAGGAAATTATGTGTATATCTGGGGGAAGAGCTCTGAAGGCAGGGGGGCAGCAAGTTCATCACCATCAGTCATTATCTGTTAATCAGAGAATTGTTACTATTACTCCATATCCTACTCTCTGTACACCAGGGCCAACCAATGTCGGGTCAAACGTTCTGGGCTTGGGTCAGTCTCTGTTCCTTAGCTTCCAAAATCTTACATTCACCTGCTCCCAATGTCTGAAATATGAGATTGAACCATATGAAGTTGCCAATATGCAACCATTTCTGACCCACAGAAATGGAAGCTTCCCATGGTTCAACCTAATGCATTTGGCAAGGTCCCAAGCTGTAATGAAAAGTACCTGTAAAATACAAGCGCCCCAGGAGTGGCTGGAGGAGGCATTTGATGCGTGTTAACTCTTTCCTCTTACCCTTTCCTCTCTGAGAAAGTCTGGAGATTTCACTTCTTCCACACAAGTGTGTACGGAGCTGATAGTTGAGCCTTTTCCACAAGCGGGCGTTAACGATGGTCGCTCTAACTTTTCCAAGCATGTTTATGATTTAAAGTTTATGTTCCCTGGGTGGCTGGCCATAGGGAATTCATATACACACCTACCCACGGCGGGCATGGTCTTATCCAACAGGTCAACCAACATCTTAATACAATTGGCTGTAAGGGTTGAACACAACCGCAGGCAGACAACCCTCTTTCCAGCTGCTTTGTCTCATGTCTCAATTTTTCTCTCTGTGGTCCCAACTAGCTGGGGAGCTGGAGGAAAAAGACAGGAGCTGGTGAGAAGAGCTGTCAGTGGGTGTTTTAATTTCCTCAAGGCTTTAGGTCTGCTCTGATGGCCCTTCAGGACCATTATACACGTACATTGTACCGAGCGAGGCTGACGTCTTCAGGGAGGGCTTCACATTTAGACTTTTGCTGTTTACCCCAAATGCAGTTTAATGTGTGTGTATACACCTATTGTTATAAACATTCAAAATTTACAATTTTCATAACTTTGCTTCAACATTCTTTCATTTTTCACAAATATGTCGGAATCCTTAAAAAGTCACTTAGCCTTCTTTAAGAGCTTTGTGAAGCCCTAGGTCAATTTCACTTACAAGGAAATGAGAAAGTAGAGGACTTCTCTGTGACCCTGGGACCATCTGGATCATTATCACCTTCAAACTCTGGGACCTTCTCCTGCCTACTGAGTCAGAATCAGTGGCACCGGGGCCAAGGAGCCTACATTTGAAGAAGTACCCCCTTGTAACGTATACAACTCCAGTTTGAGAGAGTAGGGTTAGGGAATTGGATGGGTCATTAGACACGGGATTTCCCTAGGAAAGAACTAGGGCTGAGAATGGAAGGAAGTCAAAGACCCTGATGAAACTGGGGCAGTGAAAATGGTGACAGAGATGAGAAGTGGAAGAGGGATGTTAGGTGCATGGCGTGACTCTCAAGGAGGAAGTCTCTCCCATGAGTGGCCAAGTAACAATGGATGTATTTTGGGCCCACCAGATGTTCCAGGCCCTTCCCTGGACGTCATCTTGTTGGAGCTCCACAGCTGCGCTGGGAGGTTCTGAGGTAGATCAAATAATATCAGAGCCACCTTCCCAAAGAGGAAAGGGGTAATGAACATGCTCTCTCCTGTCCTTATCCCATGCTCCCTCCTTGGCATCACCCTTCTGGTGACACCCAGATGGACACGGCAGACAGGAAACTCCCAAATGGTTGTCCCCTTATTTTAATCCCCAAGTCCATATACTATGCTTGATGGTGACTTGATAAGGACTTACTGATAGTTTAGCTTCCTAGAGTGAAATGTGGGAGCTATTTGTGAAATCCCAGCAATTTATTAATAATTCAGGATGACATCTAATCAGGATGAAAATTGGCTTCTTTGTCAAGTGCAGAGGAAGGATAATTGGTGTATTTGAAATAGGCCTTGTCCACATAGCCCCTCTGCCCACTTCTTTTGCTTCCGGGCCTTCTGTGAGTCCCGTCCTTGACGGTGGGCAGAGCCAGTAGGCAGGACAGAAGGGGAACACACAACAGACTTTGAACTCAAGATATCCTGGGTCTAGCCTACTGATCCCAGCCTGGCCAGTCACAGACATAGCTTAGCCTGTCTTCCTGGGTGGCTTTCAGAAACCCAGGCTTCCGGGCTGGAGTGACCCAGCTGCCCGCCGGCCTTGTTGAGGCAATGTTCCCCACTCACTCAGCTATCCCATTGTCCAAGAGAAGCCTGGATCTTACCATTCCCTTTTCTCAAGAGTCTCTGCTCCCAGCTGTGGAATGCCCATGACCTGCAGTGCTGTGGGCAGCTCTGTCTTCAGGCCTGGGCCGCAGGGGCCACTGGCCTAAGCCTTGGCTTCAGATGCACGTCACAGACGCTGAATCACAAACACTTCTGCCTTCGTGGTCTAGTAAGAACATTTTTTAAAAGTTTTGGAACTAATTAAGTAAGAGTTATCAGAAAGGAATCCTGAGGTTTTTTCTGATACCAAATATGTCATTCCAACAGCAACTGGCTGGCCTACAGTGTAATTCAATTTTGACACTACTTGGAATTAGCACAGACTCCACAGGTTAAGGGCTCAATCCCACCAGAGGTCCCCACTTCATATGCCAGACACAAATGGGGTGTGCAGGGACCTGCAATTCTGCCCAGCTGACTACAAATTCAGGGCTTCCCATAACCCCCCTTCAGGTTCCATAATTCACCAGAATGACTCACAAAACTCAGGAAAGCACTTTACTTACAATTACAGGTTTATTATAAAGGACATAAGTCAGGAACCGTCCAATGGAAGGGATGTATAGGGCAAGGTATGGGAGCTGGCACAGAACTTCAGTGCCTTCTCCAGGCATGCCACCCTCCCAGTTCCTTTCCTTTTGTTTTTTTCTTAATAAATTTATTTATTTATTTTTGGCTGCACTGGGTCTTCGTTGCTGCTTGCAGGCTTTCTCTAGTTATGGCGAGCGAGGGCTACTCTTCGTTGCACTGTGCGGGCTTCTCATTGCCGTGGCTTCTCTTGTTGTGGAGCACAGGCTCTAGGTGCGTGGGCTCAGTAGTTGTGGATAATGGGCTTTGTTGGTCCGCGGTATTTGAAATCTTCCCAGACCAGGGCTCGAACCTGTGTTCCC